GTCCATTTATATATATATATATAAATGGACGTGTGTATATATATAAATGGACGATAAAATTATATTAAAATCTATATATATAGATTTTAATCTAATTTTATTCTAATTCTAATTGCAGAATTGCATAAATGTCCTTCTTTACTCTGCAGATTCAAAACTTTCTATCTTTTTCCAATGGGCTCTCTCAGCATGATGCCTAATCTCAGACTTTTGTCAAACTTTCAAGAAATCAAGAATTGCATAAATGTCTCTTCCTCTCATGACCTGTTGTGGTATATAGTCTTTCCCTCCAGTTTTGCCTTTTTAGTGAACCTTTCAATATTGTACCATGTTATGAGTCATGCAGGCCTCACACCTTATTTCTAGCACTAGGTATTTGAGTAGTTCTGATATGTGATTTGTACAAGCTCACATGATAGTGGGCAAGACAATTTGAGTACCAAGAACTAGGGTTTCTCTGTTTGCAGAAATTCTAATCTTCTTAAAGACTAAGCTATTCTGTGATCTGACTGCTCACAGAATTTTAATACTGTAATTAATTATTAACTTCAATCTCTAATTATCAATAATGTTAATCAACTTATTCAAATATTTGGTACTAGTTGGTTATTAACTACTCTGTACAAGGCAAATTGGCAGCACATGTTACCTTAAGCTGATTGTTTTCACAATTATGTTCATTTGTATTTTTGAGAAGTTGATTCTCAGAAAGGCAGAAAGTTCTCAATTGTTAAAAATATTCAATTCTGCCTATGATTAATTCTAACAATTGTGTTTACATATCTCCTTGTCGTGTGATCTTTGTTTCTCTGTAGAGTTCTAAATCATTTCTAGAATCCAGTTTGTCATGCTTTGTGGTGAATGTTATACCTGGAGGCAATTTTACTTATTTTGTTTACAAGTGGAATCTTAGCATTTGCCTTTTTCAGGTTGAGTTATGTTTGTTATATTTAAAAACATCTGTTATCATGTTAGATCTGTTTCCTGGCTTATAATAAAATTTAACATAGAAAATTGCTCCATTTTGAAGAAATTTTTTTATTTTGGCAGATTTTACTGTATTAAGGAATCAGTTGGAGCACGAATATTCATTGATTTATCATTATCTGATATAAATTTATTAGGAAGATGAAAAATTTTATTAGATAAAACTTCTCAAATATTTTTGTTAAAATTCTTGTAATTTTCTGTTTTATTTGCAGTATTATATCACTCACATTTGCATATATCTCACAAAAATATGTTTTAGCATTTTTCTGTGGGGTTATTTTATTTTTATTTATTTCAGC